CCCCCCCTAAGCCCCCTTTTCCGGCAGGGAACGTGGCCTGGATGCACGTCCTGGCCGCCCGGGCCGCCCGTCGCTCCCCGGCCTCGGTGGCGGGCGAGGTTTTCTTCTGCTACGACGGGTCCCCGTTCCTGGCCTACGAGGAGTTCAACCTGCGGCTCCTGGGGCTGCGGGGTTGGGGTCCCCGGCCCCCCCGGGCCCTGCTGGAGCTGCTGGCCCGGCTCAACGCCGCCCTGAGGGTCCTGCTGGGCCCCCTGGGGGGGTTCGCCCCCCTGCTCAACCCCTACACCTTGGCCGTGGCCTCCACCCCCTTCACCGTCCGCACCCGCAAGGCCCGGCAGCGCTTCGGCTTCCGGCCACTCTTCTCCTGGGAGGAGGCCCGGGAGAGGACCCTGGGATGGGTCCGGCAGCTGGGAACGGCCTGAGGGTGGGATTCGGGGGGAGGAGGGGCGGGGTTGGGCTTTAATTCCGGTCCGGGGGGGAATCCAGGGCAGGATTTGGCTTTAGCCCCAGTCTGGAGGGAGATCCAGGTCAGGATTTGAGCCTGATCCTGATCCTGGGGGAAATTCAGGCCGGGATTTAGTTCTGATCCTGAGCAGAATCCAGGCCAGGATTTGACTCTAATCCCAGTCTCCAGGGAGATCCAGGCCAAGATTTGCACCTGATCCTGGTCCTGAGTCAAATCCAGGCCAAGTTTTACTTCTGATCCCGAGCAGAATCCAGGCCGGGATTTGCACCTGATCCTGGTCCTGAGCAAAATCCAGGCCAGGTTTTACTTCTGATCCCGAGCGGAATCCAGGCCGGGATTTGAGCCTGAGTCTGATCCCGATAGAGATCCAGGCCAGGATTTGGCTCCGATCCCAATCCCAGCCTGGATCCAGGCCAGGCTTTGGTTCTGATCCCGATCCTGAGTCAAATCCAGGCCGGGTTTTATTTCTGATCCTGAGCAGAATCCAGGCCGGGATTTGAGCCTGAGTCTGATCCTGGGGGAAATCCGGGCCAGGATTTGCACCTGATCCCAGTCCCGACGGAGATCCAGGCCGGGATTTGGCTCCGATCCCAATCCCAGCCTCGATCCAGGCCAGGCTTTGGCTCCGATCCCGCTCCCAAACGAAATCCAGGCCGGGTTTTCTCTTTAATCCCAGTCCAAGTGAGATCCAGGCCGGGTTTTGTGCCTTATCCAAATCCCGAGGGGAATCCAGGCCGGGATTTGTGCCTTATCCCAATCCCAGTTTAAT